ATGGAAAGTCAGGTAACTGGTGTTGTAGGATGGCAGAATTCACTGGGTATGTGGGGATCCAGGGAAATTGGGTTCTATGATGGCAGGATTCACAAAGCTGCTGAACTCCATGTTTAAGCAAGGGGAAGTTATGGTATGCCTCACAGTACTGCTGGGATCTGCTTGGATAGCAAGTTAACTTGGTTGTATGATGGCAGGAATTGCCAGGCTGTTGGTTTTAATGTGGAGAGCAGAGAAAATGGGTTTCTCTAATGACAGGATTCCTGGGGCTGCTGGTGTGTATGTTCAAGGGGAGACAATTGGTTTTCTATGATGGCAGAAATTGCAGGGCTTCTTGAATTTACATGGAAGTCACAGAAAATTGAGGTTCTGTGATGTCAGGACTTACAAACTTGCTCTGCTCTTTGTTAACATCTAGGGAAATGGGTTCTTATGATGGCAGGATGTGAAGGACTGATAGGCTGCTGTAGAAAAGCCAGGCAACTTGGTTTCCATGATGGGAGGACACACAGTACTGATGGGCTGTACATCAGGAACAGGAGCATGGGGTTCTATGCGGTCAGGAAATCATACTGTCCAGTATTTCCATTGCTAGTGGTCTATAATGCTCATGGTCTCAGAATTACCATGGTTGCTGGAATCTATTTGGAGACCCACAATGCCAGGTCTGTTTCTGTCCATGTTCAAAGCCAGGCAACTGGGATAATGATGGCAGGAAACTCAGGGCTCCTGGGCACCACTTGTACAGACAGGTGATTGGGGTTCTATTGAAGGATAGATGTGCAAGACTGTTGAATTCTATATCCAGAAAACTGGAATTTTCTGATAAAAGGATTCTTAAGGCTGATCATGTCTACTGGCAGATCCAAGAAACTTGATATCTAAAATGTGTACAATTGCAGAGTTGCACATGTCCACGTGGAGAGACAGGAACATACAGGACTGCTGTGCTGAATATGGAGACCCACCTAACTGGTGTTCTATGAGAGCAAGAATCACAGGGCTGCTGTGCTCTGTGAAAAGAGCTGACAGTTCTTTGTTTAATGGGGGATGAAACATCATAGCTATTATGATTTTTTTACTCAGATCCACATTTTTCTTCCTGGAACTCTTTCTGAGCCTGTCCCTCATTTTCTTGACTTAAACAGATGGAAAGAACACATACACATTTTGCTTTGAATACCTTCTTTCAGTTCTTTAGTGTAAAAACCTAGGAACAGACTTGAGTACTATGATAATTCTAATAACTCTAATTTTAACTTTTTGATGAAACTGCAATTATTCCACACACAGGTCACACATTTGTCTTCATTCTTACCAAAGCTTGCTTGTCGCTCCCTGCAACAAGGGTACGTGGGAGACAGGCAGGACCAGCCTGTCGTCTCTGAGGGGCTGAGCGAGAGGGTAAGTGTCGCAACCCGGCCGGCCACCCAGCCTGGCCAAGAATCACACCGAGTAGGGAGTTGAGTCAACCATAGAGGTGCAGCAATCTCAACTTTATTGTGTCAGGGACAAGGTTATATAGTGATAGGAGGGTGTAAGAAGAGACAGTAGTGAGAACCAATAAGGGGCAATTACATCACTATCACTAAGGGGCCTAGGCAGATTTCAGATTAAACCATTAGGCAGGGCTAACGTTAAAAGCGTGTGCGCGGGCTAAAAGCCCAGGAACGCCAATCCAGCCAGGTCATGTATACGGAAATGCTCTGGAAGAACCCATGAGGCCACCTCAGCCAACACCCAATAATGGCTGCAGTCCCAAGGGAGGTAAAATGTCCCAACACCTGCTATTTTAAATTATTTTGATAATGGTTATATTTGAAAGAATTCCTCCACGCAAGACACTTTGCCGGGAGAGTTCCACTTTAATACAAAAGGCTGTGGGTTTATATAGATCTAAGGAGAGATGGCAGGGCTTAGGTAAATGATGGGTCACTCGTTTATTGGTAAATTCTTCTAGATGTCAGTTCTGGAGCCCATGAAATTAGTTCTTATTGGGGTTAAGGTTTCCTGCCAGCGAGATTTGAAATTGGCGCCGGCGGGGGTTTTTGGTGTCTGCAGGAAAGGGAGAGGCAGGAAGAGAAGCTCCTCAGGCGCCATGTAGGGTTTTTTTTCCTGGGGGTGTGGCTGCCATTATACTTTTTCCCAACAATATTAACAGGAGTGAGGAAATTTCACTGTGACTTTAACTTACATGTACATAATTAATGAGATGTTAAGCATCTTTTCATGTTTGCTAGTGCAGTGTGTATTCAAGTTCTTTTTCAAGTTGAAATGTATATATGTGTGTGTATATATATATATACACACACACACACACACACACACACACGCCATTTATTTCTTTATGTATGTTGGTGAGTCATGATTTTAAGAAATACGAGCAAGGCACAGTGTTGGATGCCTGTTAATCTAGTGCCTTGGGGAGGGTGAGGCAGATTCAAAGCCATACTGAACAACTTATTGATACCCTAAAGCAACTTAGGAAGACCTTATCTAAAAATAAAATAGTTGAATAAATAAATAAATGAAGGTATGGGGATGGAGCTCAGTGGTTAAGTGTCCCTGGGTTCAAAAAAATTTTTTTTTTGTCTTTGACCCAGTTTCCTGGCATTAACCTCCTGGTCCTTCAATCTATGAAGCAGTGTGTCTATTTGCAGCCAGGGAGGTGAACCATGGTCTATGATTCCTGGGTGGCCCTGGATGGCTGGGTGCAGTGGAACCAACTCTGTGATTAACTCATTGGAACTTGAGCCCTCCCACAAGTTTGGGGAGGATTGAGGGTCTGAAGTTTCAGGTGATCACATGAGCAATTATTTAATGAATCATTAAATGAAAAGCAAAAGGACAGGGGTTAAGGACCCTCCATGTTGCTGAAGATGCTGGGAGGTGGTACCTGGAGAGGGCATGAAGCGACATGCCCTTTATGACTTCTTTTCCCTGATTTTTGTCACCTGCCTGTTAAAGTTTATTATTTAAGATATGTTTGAAAGACAGGCTTTGTGGTGAATTGGCAGTACTAAGTACACTGCTTTCTGACTCCTGTGAGCCATATCAGAAAAAAGAAGGGGCCTTGAAAGCTCTCATTTGTGTCCATGAACATGGGATGTATTTACATCTTCTTGAGTCATCTTCAATTTCTTTATTCTATGTTCTATAGATTTCACTGCAGAGATCTTTCACCTCCTTGGTTAGATTTATTCCCAGGTATTTTATTTTCTTTGAGGCTATTGAGAATAGAATAGTTTTCTTGATTACTTTCTCTACAGATTAATTATTGATGTATAGGAAAGCTACTGATTTTTATGTTGATTCTGTAACTTGCTATTTTGACAAATTTGCTTATTAGCCCTGATAGTCTTTTGGTGGAGTTTTTTTTTTTTTTTGATCTTCTAAGTATAGGATCAAATCATCTGCCAACAGTGATAATTTGACTTCTTTCTTTCCTATTTTTAATCCCTGTATTTTCTTCTCTTGCCTAATGGTTCTGCCTAGAATTATATTAAACAGGAGTGGTGAGAGTGGACATCTTTGTCTTGTTATTGATTTTAAAGGAAATGCTTTCAGTTTTATCCCATTTACTGTGGGGTTGGCTTTAGGTTTTTTCGTATATACCCTTTATGGTATTGAGGTAGGTTCCTTCTATCCCTAGTTTCTTCATTGCTTTTATTTTGTCAAATTTTGTGCCAAATTTTGTCAAAGGCTTTCTCTGTACCTATTAAGATGACTAAATGATTTTTGCCCTTAATTCTACTTATGTGATGAATTACATTTATTGATCTGTGTATATGAAACCATCCTTGCATCTCTGGTATAAAACCAAGTTGGTCATGATGTACAATCTTCTTAGTATGTTGTTGAACATGATTTGCTAATATTTTATTAGGTATATTTTTTTAAAAGTCTAAGTTCATCAATGATATTGGTCTGCAGTGTTCTTTACTTGATGTGACCTTATCTGGTTTTGATATGAGAGTGATACTAGCTTCATAGAATGAATTTGGAAGTGCTCCGTTCCTTTCTATTTCATGGAATAATTTGAGGAGTATTGGCTTTAGTTCTTCTTTAAAGGTCTGGTAGAGGGCTGGGGATGTGGCTCAAGTGGTAGCACGCTCTTCTGGCATGCGTGCGGCCCGGGTTCGATCCTCAGTACCACATACAAGCAAAGCTGTTGTGTCCGCCGAAAACTAAAGGTCTGGTAGAATTCAGCTGAGAATCCATCTGGTCCCAGGGTTTTATTTTTTGGAAGGCATTTTTTATGGTTTCTATATCATTCCTAGTTATTGGTCTGTTTAGGTTTTCTATGTCGTCTTGATTCAGTTTTAGCAGGTTATATGTGTCTATTTCTTCTAGGTTTTCCAATTTATTGGAGTATAAGTTTTCAATATAGTCCCTAATGTTCTGTTGAATTTCTGTAATGTCTGTGATTTCTCCATTTTCATCTCTAATTTTATTAATGTAAGTCTTCTCTCTTTTCATTTTGGTTAGTTTGGCTAAATGCTTATCAATCTTGTTTATCTCAGAGTTAGCCACTTTATTGCACAAAGTGTGTCCACTGAAAGCCCATTTCACTGAAAGCCCATTTCTGTGCAAGGGCAAACCTGCATTTATTTCCCCTTGGCCAGCCTTTCACATCCCCCTTTTGCAGCTGCCTGCTCTTTTCAGTAGCATCCATTGGGCTTAGACACTGAACTTTTGCTGGAACCCAGAAGGCCTTGGTGGAAAACTCTTGTGTCCAAGATGAGGACAACCTCGTGTCTGTAGGACAGGGAACCTCCTGGCAGTAAGGAGGCGGGGCTTAGTGCCCCAAGGGGAAGGGCCACCGGTCAGAGCCGTGCCCAGAGCCCAGCCAAGTGTAGGATCCCTTCTGTAGTCTTCCTTTTTGCCTTTCTCCTGTGAATTGCTTTCATGTATGCTATGTAGAAGTTTTGAGAACTGTTGAATAAACACCCAGAGAGGCAGGGCCTGGGTGTTTACTCAACAGTTCTCAAAACTCCTTACATTTTGGTTCAGGCTCAGTCACTATTCCTAGACATAACTTTGTCCCAGCCTCAACATCATGTGTAAACACCACCTCATGCCTATCAGCTTCTGGCGCCACCATATTGCAGGGCCCAGTCTTAGATGAAGGAAAAACCAAACCCACCTGTATCGGACACTGAAAAATCTCAGATCCAAAGCTTGAAAGAAAGGTTTAAGTCTTGAAAGGGGGAATAGCAAATGAGGGCATTCATTTTTAATTTTTATTTTCTTTTTATGTGCTGAGGATCGAACCCAGGGCCTCATATGTTTGAGGCAAGCGCTCAGTCACTGAGCCACATCCCAGCCCGGCAAATGAGGGCATTTACTGCATGGTTCTCCAAACAATGTGGGGTATATTGAAGTATGGGCGAGTACCTATGTGGAATTACATCATGGCTGCAGTGATCACAAGCTGAATACAGAGCTATGGAGAGGGGAGCAGGATCCATGCCCAGAGGGTGGCAGTGCTGCAGAGCCCCAGAGCGCTTTCCAACCCTGAAAGCACCAGCTCCTCGCCTCCCATACGGCGGGAACCAGGACAGCACTGCCACCGCCTGGCGCAGATGGGAAACTACAGCTCAGAGGTGTTAAGTCCCATGGCCTAACCACACAGGCTTGGGCCAGGGTGCAGCGGAATTAGAACTCAGAAATCACGACCTGGAACGCAGTCCTTTCTCCCACTTCAGCACCCTGGATTGACTTTATGCAGCCTGGGAGGCCACTTGCCCTTTCCAGGTGTGGCTTCAGGGGTCCCGGGTCCCCTGTTTGTGTTGCCCATAGGAGATACCTGGTGGACAGAAGCCAGGTTGTAGGTTTCTGAAAGGTGCTTGATCTGTCCTGCAGTGGAAACTGTGGGCCAAGCTTCCGCGCACACGGCTCTGCCCTTTCTCCTGAAGGCTCCCCAGCCCCCTTTCTCCTCCAGGCTCACCTGTTCTGCTCCACTCCCACAGCGCGGCCACCAGTCCCCTGGAGGCAGGGACACTCTGCTCACCTAGAGGACACCTGCAGGATTTCGGTGGGTCGGAGCTACAGTTGCTAACCTCAGGGCCACTATGGCTCAATGAAAATGAAGGGAAAAGTTAAGTTGGAACAACAGATTAACACCTCTGCAGCCTCTGGACACCGAGAAAGTCTCTCAGATGGCAGAGTGTGCAAAACACAACAACTGCTAAAAATCAGAGCAATATGTAAAGGAGCGACCTCATTTTCTAGGTCAACATCACCATCTTCCCGAGGAATTTAACACGGGTGTAAATTGACAGACTTAGGAACTATCTTCTTGATTTTGAATGATGCAGAGTAGAAAAGCATGTGTAGGTTGATGTGAGACCCCCAGCGTCCTAAGGAATAATCAGAGATGGTTGTGCATGATCCAAGCACACAGCAGCCTGTTCCAAAGAGGACAGCTAGCCAGAAGGATTGGAGAACAGCTGCTGTAATGTGCATCTGCGCTGAGAAAGTAAGTTTACATCTCCTTCCTTTGAGTACTAAGTGGAAATCCCCAGAAGAGGCAACTGATGTGGTACGAATGCCACCCATGTGGAATCAGCTTTGTGAGGAGCAGGAAGCTCATTTCCTCCACATATCCCTTTACTCAGGCCAGGGTGCATACTGTGATCTGGTGACTTCCTTGTGGATGGACACCCATGAGAACGCAGTACTGCAAAATTAAGAAAAAGTCCAAGAAACTGTCAGATTTGTTTTCTCAGCTTCCCCTGTGTGCTGTACAGATGCAAAGTTCAGGCTGATTCCACAGCAAGGAACACTCCTCAGAGTGCAGAGACAACCTACAGAATGGAAGGAGAAAATTCATTTTCTATAGATCTGGCATGGGGTTGATATTCAGCATATATAAGATACTCCAAAAGTTCAATAGTAAAAAACTAAGTAAACAGCTCTAAATGTGCAGTAGAACTAAATAGACCTTTCTTAAAAAAAAAAAAAAAAAGCTCAGAACAAGTTGAGAGCACTTTATCTTAACTATATTAGTCTGCCAATCCTGAACAAGGAATGTCTGCATTCATTTATATTAAATTTGTTTTCTTTCAATTGTATTCAAGGTTTTCTGAAAGTACGTTTGTATTTTAAGATTTTAATTAAGGACTTTAATTTTGGGGGGTGCTATTGTAAATGGTAATGCTTTATCTGGGCACAGTGGTGCATGCCTGTAATCCCAGCGGCTTGGGAGGCTGAGATGGGAGGATTGCGAGTTCAAAGCCAGACTCAGCAACAGTGAGGCGCCAAGCAACTCAGTGATCCCTGTCTCTAAATAAAATACAAAATAGGGCTGGGAATGTGGCTCAGTGGTCGAGTGCCCCTGAGTTCAATCCATGGTACTCACCCTCTCAAATTTTTTTTTTAATTTTAGTTTTCAAACTTCAAAAACTCTTACATATTATTTATAATATATAGGAAATCAAAGGACTTTTTTCCAGTGGCTATTTACTTTGCTTTTTGTTATTTCCACCCATTTAGATCAAGACGTGGGATGGTATGCTCTATTTCTGTTTGATGTTCTGGAGTAATTAGAACAAATTTCAGAGTTTTACCAGTGTTGCCATGAGGGGGTGCTTAGCCATGGTTAAACAAGGAGCTCCCAGTGTCCTGTGCTATCCACATCGACCAGCAGGGGGCGCACAGAGTCACTCTCTTATTCCTAGGAGGAGCCCACCTTCAGGGAGTGGATGTCCTGTGTTTACAGTGAGCTTCCTTCTCCTGGGATCCACCTGGGAAGACCCCACAGTTGGGGAAGCCTGGGGATCCTTGTAGGGGAGTGTTTATTCTCCTCTGGACCCACCCTGGGAGATGCTGCTGCTGGGGACACTGGGAGGACACCTCCTACAGTGAGGACCAGAGATTCCTAATCCTCAGGATCCACCTCGAGAGATGACCCTGCTGGGGACACTTGGGGGCCATGGCTACAGTGAGGATCGGAGATTCGTTATCCTAGTGACTCACCTGGGATATACCGTGGCCTGGGGACACCTGAAAAGAACGAGGACATCTAGAGGGCCATAGCTTCCTTCTCCTGGTGACCCTCCTGGGAAGACACCGTGGCCTGGGATGCTTGGGTGGCAGTGTCCATGGTGAGGACCAGAGCTTCCTTCTTTGCTGCTGCACTGTGTGCTGAGGAAGCAGCCCTGCTACCTTCTTTACTTTCCCTGGTAACATTCTAGTCAGACTTATTTTTACAAACGTATCCTTTATTGAGGCTTTGGCCACTTGCCAACATAGCATGTCAAAGTGTTTCACTGGGATTGGAGGTGTTTCTGGGGAGAAATCCTAGGACAGAAAGGGGAAATACAGATACAACCTCAGAATGGTGCAAGGAGGGCAAGGAGGGCCCAGCATCTGAAGCCACACTGAGGGAAGAGCTAATGCACATCTCATTTCTTGTTTTTATTCATGTTATAATGGCTCATTTTTTTGGTACCAGGGATTGAACTCAGGGGCACTCAACCACTGAGCCACATCTCCAGCCCTGTTTTGTATTTTATTCAGAGACAGGGTCTCACTGAGTTGCTTAGCACCTTGCTTTTGCTGAGGCTGGCTTTGAACTTGATATCCTCTTGTCTCAGCCTCCCGAGTCTCTGTGATTACAGGCATGCACCACTGTGCCTGGTTATGGCTCACTTTTGTTATAGTGTTAAAGTACTTGAAAAATACCGATTGAAAAGTGGATATATTAAAACCCCAAATTACTTTAAGTGTAAATATTGTATTTGTGTCTGTTAAAAGAATAATCTAATGGATGGAGTTCTAGCTCAGTGGTGGAGGGGTGATGAGCATGTGTGAAGGTCTGGGTTCAAATCCAGGCACTGCAAGAAAACCTAACCAAACCCAACCCAGACTGGAAAATTGTGCAGTATTAATTACCTACTATTTATCAGTAGGTAAGTTACATGGAAAGAAAAGGAAGGAGGACTTAAGATGTATTAATCACACGCAATGGATGCTCCTAGTATGAAGCAGATTTATTTATATTTAAAACTATAAAATTAATTTGAAACAATTGGAAAAATCTGTGTATTGATTGGGCATATGGGATTAAGGAATTATCTGTGATTATTTCTACTGTGAAAATATTATTGTGGTTGCATTAAAGAGTTCTTCCCATTACATGACTAAATTTTTTTTTGTAGAAGAAGCCAGATGATAGTGGGTTTTGCTGGGTGATCCTGCTCACAGCAGGGTGAGCTGTCTGGTAAGTCCCAGGATACTGGCTGTGTGGGTAGTCATCTGGCTTCACTACTCAGAATCCTTGGGGTATAGCCTTCAGCACCTATGAACCCAACAGTGAGAGTTTTGTAGGCAGAGTGCAGGACCACACCACCTAGAATTGTCAGGGGCCCCAAACTCCCAGCAGCCTCTGCTGTGAGGGCTGCATAGGCAGAACAGCAGAGTATATATTGTACATAATTCTCAGTACCTGCATCTCCCAGAGCCTCTGTGATGAAGGTTGCAAGATCAGAAAGCCAGACTACATTGCCCAGAATTCTTGGGCATGCCTTTGTGAATGCATAGCCTGCAGCTCCCATGGCCCTACATGGTCATGACTGTGTGGGAAGAATACTGGGCTACCCTACCCAGAATCCCTGAGGATTCCTGGATGAATAGGCTACCTATAATTCTGAGAGCTTTCTTTGTTGAGGGCTCCATTGCTAGAGCATTGGATGACACTACCTAGAATCCTCATATTACCGGAACAAGCATGTGGACTTCAGCTTTCATGTCCTGTTGATGTAGGGGTGTGCAGGCAAAACACTGCACTACATTACACAGAATCCTCAGGTGTGCCAGCTCCCAGGATCCTCTGTGATGCACAAGCAAAACACTGGACTACATTTCCCATAATTTTTAGGGAGCTGTAGCTTCCAGAATCCTCTATGGTCAGGACTGTTAGACTAGAGAAATGAATTCCACTACCTAGAATCCTGGGACAGGGGAGTGTCAAGGAGAATGTACAGACTACAACTCACTGATATGTCCACTGTGAGAACTGTGCAGGCTGAAGGCCAGACTACAATACTTCTCAGAATCCCCAGGTGAACATGTAGCTGCAGTTCTCAGAGGCCTGCATGGAGAGGGCTGCATTGGAGGAGCACCAGATTATACCAGCTAAAATCCTCAGAGTACCAGGGCAAGCTTGTGGCTTGCAGTTTCTATAGTCCTCCTGGCAGGGGTGTATCAGCAGCCCCTGAGAATTGTACACTCAATTCTCAGGGGCTGCAACTCCCAGGATCCTCCCTGATGAGAACTGGAGAAAGCTGAACTTTACTACCCAGAATCTTTGGTGGGAGACATCCAGGCAAGCATGCAGCCTGCAACACCCAGAGGCCTCCATGGCATGGGCTATGAACGCAGGTCAGACTACACTACCCAAGATTCCTGGGGGAATGGAAGCTCCCAGACATCTTCCTGTGAGGGCTATATGGGTAGAGCTTTGGATTGTGCTATCCAGAGTCCCCAGGAATACCTGGACAGGAATGTGGCAGGCAGCTATCAAGAGCCTTGATGAAGAGGTCCACTTAGGTAGGGTAGATTGCTACACTACCCAGAACACCAAGTGGCCCACAGCTCCCAGAGACCTCTGAAGTCAGGGCTGAAGAACTGATTACAGTGTCCAGAATTCTTGGGCGTTCACAGCCACAGGAGCCAACTTCGTGAGGCTATACCAACATAGTATCAGACAATACTTTCCATGATTTTGGGGGGATCTGCAGCCTCCAGAGCAAGGGCTGCATTGTAGAATAATGGATTACACTATCCTGGGGCTGCCAGGCAAACACATGGCTTGCAGCCCACTTAGGCTTCCAGAGTGAGTGCTTCACCTGCAGAACACCAGACTGCACTGCCCAGAAAACTTGGGGGTCTGTGTCTTCCAAAGCCTTCACATTGAGGGCTGGGTGGCAGAGTGCCAAAATACACTTCTGGCCCATATCTCCCAGAGGTCTCTTGCGGGAGGGCTGCATGGTCAGAGCATGACGACTCTGCCCAGGTCCTCTATGGCAGAGTAGTTGTGGCACTCAGCTCCCAAGGTCCTCTATGGCAAGGCTTGTGTGGACAGGACACCTGATATGCTGACCCAAATGCTGAGTGAATGTGCATCCAATTCTTCCAGGGGACTCTATGGTGAGAGAAGGGAAGGTAGGACAGACTGAATTATCTAGATTGCCCTGAGTCAAGGGTGGGCATTGTGGCTGGCAGCTCCCAGACACCTCTGCTACTAGAGGACGGCTGGTAGGATGGACTTAACTGTCTAGAACCACCCTGGGGTTCTGGGAGTTTGCTTCTGAGCTCAGGTTCTCCTCGACTTGACAGTGGCCATTCTGGGCTGGGATTTAACAGATTTTCTTAAAACCCCTGATTATAAAATGGGACAGTCCCTGGCTAAGTCACCCTGTCTCTAAGACTTCACATCCCAGAAGCCTCTGTGGTGGTCTGTTTCTGGCCTTCTGCCCTTGGGTGCATGAGTGTCTGGACTCCCTGAGGCTGCCTCCATCAGTGCATCTGTCTGCTTGGCTCAGGCTGCTGCAGCACTTAGCTTGGTGGAGTGCAGGGCTGGGGTGCAGTGAGGGGGTCTCCTGGACTCCATTTCTCCTCTCCTGAGATTCCACTCCTCATGGTGCCACAGCCAGATCTGGTTACAGCAGTAGGAACAGATTTTATTCAGTAACTCCTGAGGGAGCAAGAAAGCATTGACATTCACCAGGGAGCCTGGAGAGGCCCTGCCTCTGAGCTGTGAGCAGCTCCTGCGCTGGCGTGGCCAAAGGGGCCTGGTTAATAAGGGGCAGGGTCTTGCTGCCATCTTTAATGACGCCTCCTTGAGGAGCTGGCTTCCCCCTCAGGAACAACCCAGGAGAGCCCCAGCTCACGGGAGTGTTGGGTCACTCCACAGGGAGGGGCAGAGCTCCCTTCTCAGAGCAGATTGAGAAAGACACCCAGGTTGGGGACCCTCGTGGGTCATGCCTCCAGGGACTCCCGGAGCCCCTTCTCCTCAGAGCAGCCTCAGCAGACTCTTGGCTTAGAGACTTTCATGAGTCTTGTCTCTAGGGACACCTGAGGTTCCTTTCTCCTCAGAGCAGCCTGAGGGGGACGCCTGTCTTGGGGACCCTCATTGTCATGTTTCTAGGGACACCCAGAGCTTCCTTCTCCTCAGAGCAGCCTGGGGGCGATGCTTGTCTTGGGGACCCTCATATTTTATGTTTCTAGGGTCTCCTAGGGTTTCCTTCTCCTCAGAGCAGCTTGAAGGAAATCCAGGGTTGAGGACCCTTGTGGGTCATGTCTCTAGGGACACCAAGAACCCCCCTTCTCCTCAGAGCATCCCAAGGGAGACGCCTGGCTGGGGACCCTTCTGTGTCATGTTTCTAGGGGCACCAGGACCTCCCTTCTCCTCAGAGCAGCCTGAGGGAAATGCCAGGGTTGGAACTCTTGTGGGTCATGTCTTTAGGGGTGCCAGGAACCCCCTTCTCCTCAGATCAGCCTGAGGATGATGCTTGTCTTAGGTACCCTTGTGTGTCATGTTTCTAGGGACACTAAGAGCTTCCTTCTCTCAGAGCAGCCTGAGGGGGGACTCCTGTCTTGGGACTCCTCATGTGTCAGGTTTCTAGGGTTGCCTAGGGTTTCCTTCTCCTCAGTGCAGCTTGAGGTAGATCCAGGGTTGGGGACCCTTGTGGGTCATGTCTCTAGGGATGCCAGGAACCCCCTCCTCCTCAGAGCAGCCTGAGGGAGATGCGTGGCTTGGGGACCCTCATGGGTCATGTCTCTAGGAACTCCAGGACTTCCCTTCTCCTCAGAGCAGCCCAAGGGAGATGGCTGAGCTTGCATAACCTCATGGATCTCATCTCTAGGGATGCCTGGAGCTCCCTTCTCAGAGCAACCTGATGGAGATGCCCAACTTGGGTACATTGTGGTTTATGTCTCTATGATGCCCAGAGATTCTTTCTCCTTAGAGCAGCCTTATCCAGATTCTTGGCTTGGGGACCCTCGTGGGTCATGCCTCTAGGATCGTCTGGGATTTCCTTCTCCTCAGAGTAGCCTAAGGCAGATGCGTGGCTTGGGGTCATGTCTCTAGGAATGCCAGGAGCTCCCGTCTCCTCAGAGCAGCCTGAGGGAGATGCTTGGCTTGGGGACCCTCATGGGTCATGTCTCTAGGGGTTCCAGGAACTCCCTTCTCAGAGCAGCCTGAGGGGGATGTGTGGCGTGGGGACCCACCTGGATCATGTCTCTAGGGATGCCTGGGTTTTCCTTCTCAGAGCAGCCTGAGGTGGATGTGTGGCTTG